GAGCTGGATCATGATAGACAGTACCGATAAGTTTGAGCTTCTGATTTCGATCTTTTGAGAAGTAGATCCTATTAGAAGTGAGTGTACCAAGGAACAGTGTAGTAAAAACGGCCTCTTGGTTATTTATTAGGGCAGTGAAACTACTCCGTATGATACTATAATGGTAGATACATACCATTATACATTTGTCCAAACTCATAGAATGTACAATACCAAGAGTGAACCTTAATGTAAATTATGGAGTATGGGTGATAATGATATGTCAATTTAGGTTTATTAGTTGTAACAAATGTACCACTCTGATGGGGGATGTTGATAAACAGAGAGGCTAAGCATGTGTGGGGGCAGAGAGCATGTATGGAAAATCTTTGTATCTACCACTTAATTTTGCAGTGAACCTAAAACCGCTTTACAAAATGAAGTCTATTATATATAATGAATAAATAAGCAAATAAATAAATAAGTAAAAGATGTCTGAGGATGAAAAAAGGCTTCTGTTACTTTGCCAGCCAATCTAACTCAAAATATTATTGCAAATGAAAAGAAAATAATGCTAATAAGAACGAAATACTATGTAGAAATAAACAGGGGAGGAGAAGGGGTCTTTCCTTCTCTTCCATGTTGTAAAGATTGAATAATTAACCTGTCACTGCTTACTAAGAACATGGAAGGTATGGAAACTAGTATAAAACATAAACCCTACACTCCAGGAATTTATAATCTATTTGGGGAAACAAATATGACACAAGTAGAAGAATATGTAATAATTAGTTATTATGAGATATATACAATTTGATCTCAGAAAACTATAAAATGTATGTTGGCCAGGGTTACTGTAGAAGATTCAGTTGTAAGTCTTAAGGTTGGTTTGAATAATTTTGAAGTATATCTACATGTGAATGACATGGTAAAGCTTTTAAAGAAACAGAAACCCAGGAAGAGGAAGTGCTGTCATGAGGTGGATAATCCCAGTTGCTACAGAGCATTTGATTAATTCTTACCCAAGCTGACATCGAGACTTCAGGTTCAGTTGAAACTGAGACATGCAGTCTGTGGGAGTGTCCTTGGAACAAATGTATGTTTACTAACTCACTCATTTAAAGAATGATGATTCAATGAGACCATAAGCACAACATGAAGTTGTTATGAAGCTTCTCCTTCATAACTGACAAATCTTTTGTGGCTATGAAGCTATAAGGAGAAAATGGCATAAACACTGACATTTTAGGCTTTGTTCAAGACGGAAGAAAGAATCATCCTGTTTCAGCAGCAACACTGCTCGCCCGTGGAAAGTTAGCCTCATCAGTCCACAGTGGCTATTTCTGATATTAGAGCAAATCAAAAGGAAGAATGAATGTGTGTGAAATGATTGAGATTTAATACAAACACATTATGTATCAGTTTAAAATATTTAAGATTTTTTAAGGTGTTTAAAAAAGTTAATTGACTATAAACATCAAATAGGATCTTTATTAGTTATAGATATTTGTATTATCTGTTTCAACAGATAAATTCTCAAATCTTGATGGGCTTGTAAAAGAAAAGTTTATTTCAAGTTTATGCAAAGTCCAAAATGTGGTATCCCTGAAGGGTGGGTAGCTCTCCTTATAATGGTACCATATTAGTTTTGGCAACCTGCCTTTTTTTATATATATGTACATTTTCAAATAATTTGCAATAAAAGTTACTTTCCAGTTTGTTTTATAACGCTAACATAATCTCAGCTGTGAAACTTAACAATGATAATAAAAGACAGGAAAACTACATGCTATTGTCTCTCAGAAGTATATATCTAAAAATCTTCAACAAAATATTAGCATCTGAAACCCAGTGGTATATAAAATGTGTCATAAATTGCAATCAACTTGAGGTTATTCCAGAAATGCGAGGTTGGTTTAACATTTGAATATGAGTCAACGTAGATCATGACATTCATAAGATAAAAGTAGGCATGATTATCTCTATAAATGCAGACAAAAAGATTTGGTCAAATTCAAACTCTATTTATTATAAAAACTTAGCAAACAAAAAACAAGAGAATTTCCTTAATTTGATAAAGTGACTGAAAACATTCTACTTAGTGGTGAAATACTAAAAGTCTTTCTCTGAAATTGGGAAAATAGAAAAGAATCCCTGCTATCACCATTCCATTCAATAGTGAACTGGAATTCTATGCCATAAGCAAAAAAAAAAAAAAAAAAAAAAAAAATCATTTAATCAAACAAAACAAAATAAAAAATATAAACAAAGGAAAAGAAGTAACACTGTTTTTATGCAGATGACAAGATGATGTACATGTATACGAAAAATTTGAAAAGATGTCCAAACAAAAAAATTAATAAATTAATCAATTTTCAATTGTTATATAAAAATCAATTGTATCTCAATATACTGGCAACAAATGTAACACAAAATTCAAGGAATAATACTATTTATAATAGGACAGAAAAATATGAAGCCCATAAATTAATTCTAGGGAAACATGTATGACTTCTATCCAGATATTGAGAAAAATTAAAGAACATCTAAATGGACAAAGTATACAAGTTCATGGATTGAAAGCTTTACTATTTTAAGAAACCAATTATCCTCCAATTTATCTGTACATTCAGTGCAATATCAACAAAATTCTAGAGATTTCTCTTTAGAAATTGATCAGATAGAGTTAAGATTTATAAGTAAATGCAATGAACTGAAAATAGCCAAGACAACATTGAACAAGGAAAATAAATATGGACTTATATTACCAGTCATCAAGACCTTTTATAACTTCAATAATTAAAGCAGTGTGATATGGCAAAATAATGGCAAAATTAAAAGCCAATAAAAATAAGTACACCTTTACTCCCACTTCATCATGTACACAAAAGTAAATTCTATGTGAATTATTAATCTAAGTGCAAATGGTAACTCATTAAAGTTTCTAGAACAAAGCATGAGAGAATGTCTTTGTGAAAAGCAACGAATTCTTAGACCACATACAGGTATACATAAAACACTAAACTTAGAAGAAAAGATTGATAAATTTTAAATTAAAATTAATAAATTCCGTTCTTTAAAAGTTACTGTTAAAGCATTCCGATAATGGCAAACTACCTTACATTGAGGCCTTCTAGAGTTAATAATTATAAACTTAGGAAAATAATATAAAAATTAACCATATGAAGGCAGTGGAGAGTGACAAAAAATATCAGAAACTGAAGGAAAGCCAATCCAAGAAAGGAAGGGACTGTGCTGAATGATATTTGGAAATCTTAATATTCATAGACAACATAATCATCTATATAGAAAATTCAAAGAATCTAAAGACAGCTATTAATTTTAAAAGTAACTAAAATTTGCTGGACATGCTACCTACTAATACCAATCAGTAATGTTCCTATACACTAGCAATAAATAATCAGAAAATTTAATAGGAAAAATATTAATGACTATGAGAAAAACTTCAAACAGAGGAATAAATATAAAAAGATGTGCCTTATATCACTTTATGAGTAAAATGACAAAACATAATTAATGAATAAATAGAAAGATGTGTCATGCTGATAAACAGTTAACAATATAAGATGTTGAATCTTTCCAAACTATTCTGTGAGATAAACAGAATTTCTATTGAAATCTCAAAATCTCAAAATATCTTCTTGGGACTTAATAATGGGAATTAATAAGCTGATCCAGTAAGCATATGGCAGTATGGCAGAATAGAAGGTGAAGAATTACCAATATAAATTTGAAGAAGTGTTTGAGAAAACATATGCTCTCAGAAATCATGACCTACTGTAATCTGTAGCAGGGGTTGGAAAACTACAACGCATGGACCTGGCTCACCACTTGCTTTCATAAGTAAATACTGGAAAACAGCCATGCCTGCATGCATTTTTTTTTCTTTTCTTTTTTTTTTTTTTTTTTTTGAGACGGAGTCTCGCTCTGTCGCCCAGGCTGGAGTGCAGTGGCGCAATCTCGGCTCACTGCAAGCTCCGCCTCCCGGGTTCACGTCATTCTCCTGCCTCAGCCTCCCGAGTAGCTGGGACTACAGGCGCCCGCCACCTCGCCCGGCTAGTTTTTTGTGTTTTTAGTAGATACGAGGTTTCACCGTGTTAACCAGGATGGTCTCGATCCCCTGACTTCGTGATCCACCCGCCTCGGCCTCCCAAAGTGCTGGGATTACAGGCATGAGCCACTGCGCCCGACCTGCTTTTTTTTACTTAGCATTTTTGGCTGTTTTTGTGTTGCAGTGGCAAAATTTAACAGTTGCAATGAAGAACATATGGCCTACAGAGCCTCAAACGTTTACTGTCTAGTGCTTTACAGAAAATGCTTGCTGACTCCTGATCTATATTAACTAAAACTATTTAGTATTGACAGAAGATAAGGTAAATAGACTAATAGAACAGAATAGAGAGTTAAGAAACATGCATATTTTGTATATGGCGTAGGAGGCCTTACATATCCGTAGAGAAAAGATGAACTCTGCCATAAAAAAGTCTTGGAAAACAGGTCATTAGTAAGAAAAAATAATTCCAAATTAATACAATAGAAAATTAAATTATCATTTCATGTCATTACAAAAGTAAATTGATTCTTAAAGTTTTTAAAGAACTGAAATCTCTTTACATAATGAAATGTTAAGTTGCACCCTGGGGACAGGTAATTAATAAATAGGTGAACATAACAGGTTAATAACCAGTATAATAATATATTAATATCCAGATCATATAAGGAACTCACATATAACTATAAGAAAAAAAAGATTAGCACCCATTTTGTTTTTCCTTACCATCTGCTGCCTGTTGACGAAAAGCTAAACTTATGAACAGGATTCTCAAAAGTGAAAATCCAAATTCCCTCAAAATATGTGAAATGATTATTCTCACAGGTAATTAATGAAAAGCAAATGCAAACCACAAGGAAATAGAATTTCATTTGCGTGAGAATGATGGCAATATTTGCCGTACTAAAATTGACACATTGTAGAAAGACATTTATCGGAAACTTTTAACTAGTTATAGTTAGTTTCAATTGAGAAGAGACAAGGTAGTATAATGGAATTGGTAAAATACAGAGTTAGAATTACCCCTATATACTCCAAAGCTGTTTCCTGGTTGTACATCTTAGGTGACCAAACTGGACTGTAATTTTTTCTAAATCGCCAAGTCAAGGAAATTTGTCATTCTTGGGGTGACTCCTATCTTAAAACTATAGAAATATGACTGTCATTAGCACTAGTCAGACAAGTTTCATCTTAGTTGTTCGCTACATCTTTCCCAGCCCATAAAAACCAAGCTGCAACACTGGATGTAGCACATAAGTCAAAAGCTACATCAGAAGGTTCTAACTTTTATCATCACTATTACCAGCATCATCACCGTTATCGTTATCTTCATCATCATCATTACCACCATTATACCTGATACTCCCACAACATCAGAACATTATGTACAGGTAAAGGGGATTTCACTGGGGAGAGTAAGTCTGCAAAGTTTAGCAAGTTGCCATTAAGTGGGTTCTAGTTTTTTGTTAATTGATTGCTTTTTATAATTCAGTTTTTATTTCTGGACACTGTCAAGAAACATGCTATTGTCTGAGGTCTACAGGCCCTTTGACATCTCTGGGAAAATTTTCAAAAGTTGAAAAGAAAAATAATAATTCAGCAAAATTTTGCTTACTGGGAAAGAATATAAATATATAATTGATCTGACATCTTAAGGAAATGAGGCATAAGATTTCTTTTATAATCACTCATAAAAACACTACCATTTTTGTTCTCTAGTAATGTAATTGAAATCAAATTTTCTAATATTAATAGGTTTTCTTAGGAATAATGAAAAATATGAATGCCATTATAGATTTTGGAATAATGTACTTTCCAATATAGATTTTGAATTAGCAACCAGCAAACTGCAGGTTCTCAAAACTTCATAAATTTTCAAATGACTTCCTTTTGTAGACTTTCTTTTTTTCAAAGTTCCAGGAGAAAGTGAAGATAGAGGCCATTACCCATTTGATCATTACACTTCTCTGCTCCTTATGCACAATTCTCACCCTAATGATTTAAAGTTTTCTATGGAAAAAGGTTTATTTTTATAGAATTTGAAGAATTTTGCACCACAATTGTGCTTTAACACATTTCATTATATGAGATGATTCAGGTGCATCTAATTCAAATGGTCTATAAATGAAGTTCTAATAAATGAAAGCTATATATTTTTTAATGCTTTGCTGTTTAACTCCTAAAGCAATGCCCAAAAGTGGTTAAAAAGAAATCTAATCTAGGAAGTGATAGTTGGCATGGACTGTAAGGGTACAATTACAACAAGACTGATGTTTTAAAATTGTAAGTAATGTACTTACCATCATTTTGATTAACATCATTATTGCAAGTTGATTAAGGCAAATGGTTATGCCACAATGGCAATGAGCTTTCTTTTATTCTTTTCCCCTGTGATGGAGCTGGGTTCAAGCGATTCTCATGCCTCAGCCTCCCAAGTAGCTGGGGTTACAGGTGCTCGCCCACCACATCCAGCCGATTTTTGTATTTTTTGGTAGAAATTGAGTTTCACCATGTTGGCCAGGCTAGTCTCAAACCCCTGACCTCAAGTGATCTTCCTGCCTCAGCCTCCCAAAGTGCTGAGATTACAGGCATGAGTCACTGTGTGCAGTCAGCAATGAACTCTTATTTGAAGTAGATTCATTCTAAAAGTGAGGCAATCATAGTTTAGTTAAGTACATGAAGTTGGGTACATTCATTGAAGATTAATTTTTAATGTATTTTCTTTGTTAAATGAGGGATTCATCTTGTAATGCAAATGCCTACCTTTAGAAAAAACTGTTGCCAAAAATTAATTTGGTAAATTAGAGTAAATTATTTCATAAATGGACATTTTTCGATATTTAGAACATAATTTTTAAAACTGCAGTTATTATTCAAAAGTAATAATAAATTCCTAGAGGCTACATTTATTAGAAGAAGGGTTAATTACAAACTTACTGTATTCTTTGAGATATAAAATAATATTTTAAATTATTTTTGACAAGAGAAAGCCATGGGAGGGGGAAAAAGTCATATCAGAACTATAGTCAATAATATGTACTCTTCAGAAATTTTCAGAGCATCCAAAACGGGTTTTTAGAGAAAAATCTCTTTTAAGCTGGGTAAAGCAGTGATTATTCTGAAACCATTTCAGAACTTAGAATAATTTTTTAGGCTACCTAATGTTTAGTCTCTTAGACTAATATGCATGTCTCAGAAAGCCTGAGCTACCAGACTGTTATAACTAGCTCATCCAAAACAAACTTAAGACCTTACTGTCACAGTGCACTTTTATAGTCATTAAAAGAAACATGTTATCAAATATTAATAAAGTTATACATACTGTATTAAAAATGCTATGCCTGAGTAGGCTTTTTTATCTGAGGCTGATATTAAATAACAGAATTCTGGTATGAAAAACTACATGAAATGTGTCTGAAAGAAGGAGTTTCTTTGAAGAGCTTTGACAATGTTGGTTCTGCGAAACACTAATTAACAAGTCATCAAAAGAGACAAAGAGGTATGAGGAAGAGGTAGGATTAAGAATGTAGAACAGAGTGAAGAGGAAACAAGTTTAGGTGGAGTTGCACAGTTGTATAAGGTAATGCTAAAAAAACAGAAACAAAGATGTATCTACCTAAAAGTCAGTTGGTCCTGGATGGGATAAGAATGAAAAGGTTCACATATTCACAGGAAATATATAATTCACCAAATATGCTCCCTGATTACAAACTCTTCTGTTTTGCAAGGTTTATTTAGAATGATACAGAATAGAGATTGAAGAAGCAGCTGAGGATGTTTTGAATTTGAAATCATGAATGTTTATGTTACAGCCCTTCCTCCAATGGACAATTATATAACATAATCTCTCAAGATATGAAAAATAACTAGTGTTCAAACTTCATGTAGATTAAGCTTAGTGTGGCCATACAATGTAAGTGTAACCATACACTGCTTTATCTGTATGATGCCGAACCACCATATTTTCTAATTCTCTTTCATCTAATTGATTGGCTTTGATGATAAAACAACTAATTGATCTATTAATTTATATTATGCAAATAATTTACATTTGTTGGAGAAACATTATAGAAAATAGGCCAGGGGTGGTGGCTTATGCTTGTAATTCCAACACTTTGGGAGGCCAAGATGGGCAGATCGCTTGAGCTCAGCAGTTTGAGACTAGCCTGGGCAACATGGTGAGACCACCGACTCTATTAAAAAGATACAAAAAAATAGCTGGGTAGGGTGGTGCACCCCTGTGGTTCCAGATACTCAGGAGGCTGAGGTGGAAGGATCACTTGAACCCAGTGGGGCAGAGGTTGCAGTGAGCTGAGATTGTACTACTGCACTCCAGCCTGGGTGACAGAGTGAGACTCTGTCTCAGAAAAGAAAAAAAAAAAAAAAGAAAGAAAATTAAAAAAAGAAAAATTAGAAAATGTTAAGTTAAAAGTAAACAAAAAATCTATAATTTTATTACATAGAGATTACTGCAGCTGACATCATGGTGTTTCCATCCACGTTTATCAAACCTATAATTAAAACTTGTTATATTATGTATTTAATTGTGTCTATAAGTGTTTATATGTCCCTGTGCATGATATGGCTGTAGTTTACAAAAATACAATCAGACTACAACTAATGTTTTGTAACCTGCTTCAGTTTTTTAAAAAAGCAAGGCAATTTCTCTTTGGCAACAAAAGTACAGAAATCATGTCTATTTTGCTTATTGATATATTTCCAGTAGCTAACCTGGGCTCAATAATGATTTGTTAAGTGAATGAGCATTATGGTCTATCCTCTTTGAGGCATTTGAGGTTTCTAGGTTTTCAAGTAGCATAAAGGACTAATGTATAAATTACAATTCATGCACTATGAGTTGAAGGAGAGGCAGGTAGATTTTGATTGTTATTATCTGATTTAAACCAATTTTTCCCTCTTTCATAGGCACGGCATATCTTCCCAAAGATCTTGGCCACTGTGGACTACGATCTTTACTTTTCTTGGAGTGGCAGCACTCTTGGGAGTAACTATTGGTCTTCTTGTTCATTTTCTGGCAGTTGGTCAGTATAGATTTTTTCAATTTTCATCCTTGCTATAAATCTTTTAGTTTTAAAAATTAAAAAAACAAAACATGAACATTAAATTTCTTCTTGGGAGTTTTCTTATTTACTTACTATTTTATTTCAACACAGTTTATTATAACATAGGAGTTTATAAAATTTTTTGAATCAGAGGCCTCTTTGTAAGTTATGTCACCAACTGTGGGGGTATGAGCAAGACAAATGTTCAATGCTTTGATGTCAATATTCATTGTCATTAAAGGAGCTTATAGTAGGCTTGTAGTTGAATTGTTACATCCTGTAGTAAATACATCTCACACTTTAGAGATTCCTTCTCTTCTTGGCTCAATTCTGCTATTGGTTATTAAGATATGATGAATAAGTAGCAATGAAAAATCTACAAATCTACAAATAACTCTTTTAATAGTAGATAGTCAAGCATGGTTGAATGGCTAAATGTTTGCACAAACATGGTTTTAGTTTTAAAACTTTTGTTAACAGTATACTCACAAAGCTTAGTTTCCAATTTATTTTTACCTTTCTGAAAAATAAGTCCTTAAACTTGCGTAGTTATTTAATGTTTGAAAATAAACTTGACATCCATTGTTCCACTTTATCTTCCCAATAATCCTGTGAGCTAGGGATGACAGATTTTACTGCTATCCTTATTTTCACATACAGTACACTGGGGCTCAGAAAAGTAAAGTGACTCGCTTGATATCACAAGCTTTTAAGTAACATAGCTTGCTTAAAAGCTTAATATTAATATACTTAATAGTTTAAGTAATTATACTACTTTATCATGATTTTTCTGAGTTTTATATCTCTGAAATATGTAACCCTATACAATAATGCAATGTCGACAAATTTTGGCTGACTTAGCAAAAATGACATTTTTTCTTTCAAGCTGGCTTCTTTTCCTTTGTTTCTCCGCAGTCCTCTTATGACTTGTCTTTCAGAAGAATAATGGGTGCTCAATCTCCTGTCTGTCATATCTATCCATGAAATTTTCATAATCTGTATCTTTCTGTCCTCTCTTTCCCTCTACTCATTAAAAAATAACATTCTTCACAAAATTTCCTTAAGGACAGCGCTCTGAGTTTTCAAAATCAAGCTCTTGTGAATAAATCCAGTTTTTCAATATACACTTTGCATCTTAACAGGTCCCCTTTCCTGGGGAAGCAGTGTCTTAATGACAAGGAGTGGTGCAAAGGGGAACTACAGCACCCTGGCTGGAGCAGGAGGTGCATGGGACGAGAATTCACCCTTGAATGCCTCTACATGGTCAACCACCTACTATTTCAGATATAAGGCTAGAGTAGCTTAAATTGCTTAAAGTCGAATTACTTGAGCTGCACTCCTTGTAAAGTAAAAATGGATACAAACTCTGTGGTAAAAGTTGTTTGAAGTCAGTTTGAAAGATGGGTTTTTGCTCTAGGACTCTGGCTTAGGAACGAATATAATATTTGTTAATATTGAGAACAACTTAAGCTGGGTAACAGATATTGTAATCTTTCATTTAAGTGGTATGAAATTAGCTGACTGGCAGCTATTGTAATCCCTCATTTAAGTAGTATGAAATTAGTTTCCCTGTCTAAATACATCTATTATTTCTCAATTTGTTTTAAACTTTTGAGTTTCCACTTTTTTGATTAACTCAGAAATAAGTATTTCACGAAGATCATTATTCTAGAATGACTTTGGTTCATCTCTTTCTCAACTATTTTACTTAACAATGTTATTTCCAAAAGATTATATACACATGTATAACCAATTTCATAATTCTTCAGATAGTTTATCTAATAGTTCCAAACCCTGCCTTCTTCTCAGAATCAGCTGTCGAGTGCTTTTGAAGTAGTGTTTATTCCCTAGGGCCTACCCTTAGGTTAGCTGATTCAGCTGGACCAGGGCAGGACCTACCCATGCATGCCTTTTGGAAAGTCTGTAGTGATTATGATATATAGGTGGTGTTACAATCTATTAGTATAAAACAGTGTTTTAGAGAGGTAATAAAATAATGTCTATCTTAAGAAAAAAGACTTTATAAACTTTGAAATGGAGGGCAGTTTACCATGTAAAGATTACTGTTTCTATGTCTGTAAAACTGAAAATCACTGACCACAGTATAGAATATGGAATAGACTTCCATTCAGTTTATCTAAATAATTATATTAGCTCAAGCTGCCATATCAAAACCCACAGACTGGCTAGGTTAAACAACAGACATTTTTTCACAATCCTGGAGACTGGACTTTTAAGACCAATGTGCTGGGTGGTTTCCGAGGAGACCTCTTTTCTGGCTTGCAAATAGCTGGATTCTTACTGTGCCTTCCTGTGGCCTTTCCTCTGTGTGTATTTTGGGAGATGGCATGAAGTGAGTGAAAGAGAGAGAGAGAGAGAGAGAGAGAGCATGTGCGCGTGAGAGATGTGGTCTCTCTTTTCTTATAAGGAGACTAGTCCTATTGGATTCATGTCTCAACCTTATGACGTCGTTTAACCATAATTCCCCCTTAAAGATCATGTCTCCAAATACAGTTACATTGGTGTTCAGGGCTTCAACATACGAATTTTGGAGAGGATACAATTCAATCCATAATAATAATCAAGTGAAAATTAATTGTAAAATGGCACCTTGAACTGATAGAATTCTCCAGTAAAATCATAACTGGAATCAGAAATCTAAACATAATGGTTTCTTGGAATCTGGGCATGATGTATGAGACTTTTGACAAATTAAGCTAACTACTTGTAAATACCCTGGTTCAGCATTCTGGGTCTAACACAGAGTTAGCAGATTCTAATTATTTACTTTAGTTCATTTGGTGACAAACTTCACAGATGAAAATGATAAAATAGTAGAAAGAAGAGGGTCTTAGAGTTTATTGCAGTTTAGTTTTTGTTTGTTTTTGTTTTTTTTTGTTTTTCGGAGATGGGGTCTCACTCTATTGCCATGGCTGGAATGCAGTGGCACGATTTCAGCTAACTGCAACCTCTACCTCCCAGATTCAAGCAATTCTCCTGCCTCATCCTCCCAAGTAGCTGGGACTACAGGCATGCACCAACACTCCCAGTTAATTTTTCTTTTTTTTTTCTTTCTTTTTTTTTTTAGTAGAGATGGGGTTTCACCATATTGGCTAGGCTGGTCTTGAACTCCTGACCTCAAGTAATCCTTCCGCCTCCGCTTCCAAAGTTCTGGGATTACAGTCGTGAGCCACCACACCAGGCTGCAATTTATTTTTTGTGATTAATAAAGAAAATCCCAGCGGGTTAAATACACCAAGACAGCACAGCTGATTTGTGATGGGGCTGGAACTAACTCCTCTAGCTTCATATGCATTTGTCTTTTCAGGAAACTTCTCAGACAGACTTTGGCATTGGGGCTTTTGTATGTACTGGTTACCATAAGGAAAAATATAGGAATCTATGGAAATATAGGAAACCAGTTTTTATTTTATTTTATTTTAAAGTTATTTCTAACTTATAGGGTAACAGATTATTTCAGCTCAGGAGATCATACTTTTCAGTCACTTAGCGACTACATGGTGTATGGTAAAGGTGGATCAAAAGCACAAGTGCTCTCAAAATACAGGAATGGCTAATTACTTAAACAAAACAGGGTATTGTTTCATATTAGTTCCTGTTTTTTTTGAGATGGGGGTCTCACTCTGTCACCAAGTCTGGAGTGCAGTGGTGCAATCACAGCTCACTGTAGCCTTGAACTCCTGGGCTCAAGCAATTCTCCCACTTCAGCCTCCTCAGTAGCATGACTGCAGGCGTGTGCCACCATGCCCGGTAAATTTTTAAAATGTTTTGTAGAGACAGGGTCTCACTATGTTGCCCAGGCTGGTCTTGAACTCCTGGACTCAAGCAATCCTCCCACCTCGACTTCAAAAAGTGCTAGGACTATAGGTATAATCCACCGCATCTGGGCAGTTCCTATTTTTAAAAGATTTGTCCTGTTTTAAATTGTGGTGACCTAATGTACCAGGTGAAGCAGTTTATATTTGGGGAAAGGAAAAGATGGAGATATGAGACCTTGTGACACACAGCAAGCACCATCTATCATATGCTGTAGAGAAATAAAAGGGCACCATGCTTTTACACTGTTGGTGGGAGAGTAAATTAGTTCAACCATTGTGGAAGACAGTGAGGTGATTCCTCAAGGATCTAGAACCAGAAATACTATTTGACCCAGCAATCCCATTACTGGGTATATACCCAAAGGATTATAAATCATCCTCCTATAAAGATACATGCACCTTTATGTTTATTGCAGCACTGTTCACAATAGCAAAGACTTGGAACCAACCCAAATATCCATCAATGATAGACTGGATAAAGAAAATATGGCACGTATACACCATGGAGTACTAGTCAGCTACAAAAAGGATGAGTCCATATCCTTTGCAGGGACATGGATGAAGCTGGAAACCATCATTCTCAGCAAACTAACACAGGAACAGAAAATCAAACACCGCATGTTCTCACTCATAAGTGGGAGTTGAACAATGAGAACACATGGACACAGGGAGGGGAACATCAGACACTGGGGCCTGTCGGGAGGTAGGGGTCTAGGGGAGGGATAGCATTAGGATAAATACCTAATGTAGGTGACAGGTTGATGGGTGTAGCAAACCACCATGGCACGTGTAAACCTATGTGACAAATCTGCACGTTCTGCACATGTATCCCAGAACTTAAAGTATAATAATAATAATAACAATAATAATAATAATAATAATATAATAATGGCACCATGGAGTCCTCCAGGAATAACATCAAGGAATAGAAACCAGGCCAGCAGGCAAAGGGCATGCAAAAGGGTGCAAGACAGTGTATATCATCCAGAAAGTGAAGGATGACTGATGCTTGTATGTTTCCTGTATTAAAATTGCTTAGAAAGATTAATTGGGTAATTGCTAGGCTGAGTTTAGACTACACATGTAAAAGATGTTTTATCTCTAGTGCATACTCAGGTGGATTGTTAGTGATTGCGGGCATTGCTGTTTTGAGAAGGGTGCTGAGGGTATATCTGGACTTGGCAGGACAGTAATGTCTATTATCACATAAAGGGAAAGGGGGGGTCATTGAATGAACGATACGGAGTTGCCATTTCTGGAATAAACTATTGTTCACTCCTCTCCTTTTATTTTTCTCCCTCCCTTGGATTATTTCTAAACTTGGGTTGAATGTTGAGGCAGAGGTATAAATGGTTAAGGCAGAGGTATAAATGGTTAAGGCAGAGGTATAAATGTTGAGGTAGAGGTATAAATGGATTATTTCTAAAGCTGGGTTGAATGTTGAGGCAGAGGTATAAATTGCTTTAAAGTCACTTTCCACTTTAAAATTCATTGAGGTATTTTTTTTTTCCTCAATTTTGCAGAGAAGACTTACTATTATCAAGGTGATTTTCATATTTCTGGAGTCACATACAATGACAATTGTGAAAACGCAGCTTCACAAGCCAGCACAAATCTAAGCAAAGATATTGAGACTAAGGTAAATCAGAGATTTTTAAAGTTAATTTTATTATAAATTTGATTGAAATATATATGGTGACTCTTTTTTCTCTTGTCAGATGTTAAATGCATTTCAAAATTCCAGTATATGTAAGGAATATATCAAATCTGAGGTCATCAAACTTCTGTAAGTACAAGTTCATTCAAGATTTTATGAAAGGAAAGTAGGTGATATATCATACAACCTTGATTTTAGATAACAATAACACCAAAAAACACACATAAAGAAAAACAGAAACAAAGGAACAGAAAGAAAGGAAGGAACAAAGGAAACAGAAAAAAGAAAAAGAAAAGGAAAAATCAAGTTCTCCATGAATGAAAGTATCACTGTATCTAGCAAATTTCTGTTCTAGGCAAGAGTCGTTACATACAAATCTTTAATCTTCTTACCTGCAAAAGAATTACAAGGTTATTGGTGGTGGTCAGTCCTAACTGACTGTTATGATGAAAGATAATTATAACTCCATGGAAAACAAATAATTCAACTGGTTTGTTTTTAGCCCATACCTTCCCTAAAAACATCCTATTTAGTTTCCTTAATAATTTTCATTCTTGCAATGACTGTGGAGCAAAGACAATATTTTAAGATAACATCTGTATAGACATACCTGTGAAGGATGCCTGAAGATAGTGGTGGTAGGAAGGGATGCAGGGAGGAAGGTATGGTGTATGGAGGAAGAGTAATGAGGGTAGAGCTCACTTGTAATTGGTAATTGTTAATATCTATTCTGGGGAATTCTGAACTCTCAAAACAAAACAAACAAAAAATCCAGCTGACCTAACCAACCTACTTACCTACAGACAAACAAAAACCTTCAAAGACCCTATAATTGATCATGATTATTTGAAAGTGAAATTTTGGATATTTTCAAAAATTCTGATTGATATGGTTTGGTTTGAAAGTCTTCCAAGATGAATTAATCTCTTTTCCTGATTAATAAAAATAGTTTACTGAATATATAATCAAGATGTTCTTCATGCTTTAGAATTCTCTTTCTGAGCTTTCTCATTGCATAGATCTGTTGGGGGCAGACTGGTTATGTATAAAAAAAACCATGGCAAGAAGTTTAGCACTGGCTTCTAAACACATGCTGGAAATTGTGTTTTGAATGCTTCCCTGCCCTACCTTTACTTTCTCATTGATCTCTTTCTCTAAAATGAAGTTATTAGAGAAATTCTGTATGAGAGCACTGGTTTTTATTGTATTATAATAAGACTTCATTCCAATCATTTCTTGGCCAGTATTCCATTTCCTGTATGTGTTTGAAATATTCTGATTTTAGTTTGTGGTCTATATTTTCTTCCTTGAATAGTATGTCTGAACTAGACATACTGGAAGATTTTTTAGGTATCTTTGCATTTTATACATGTTTAGATAGTATCTATATATTTTTCTTTAATATATGTAAAAAAATGTGATAATTAAAATGTGTGAAATTTAATGAGTTCACAAAACCTCTAAAAGATCAAGAAACAGTACATTAAAAAATTTCTGTTGTTTCTAGGCCTAATGCCAATGGTTCAAATGTACAGTTACAGCTGAAATTCAAGTTTCTTCCAGCAGAGAGAGTTAGCATGAGGACTAAAATCAAGGCTATATTACATCAGATGTTGAAAAACAACATGGCATCCTGGAACGCAGTTCCCGCTTCCATTAAACTCAAGGGTATTTGACTTATTTCCATTATTTTCTATTACATAGGTTTTTTTCTGGATTTTTTTTTAAAAAGTACTAAAAAGTGAACTAAGAGTTTTAGTAATTTGGGAAAAAAATATGCGTACCTAACTCCGTCACCCCTAGCAATGACTTGGTAGTGGAAAGGGTAGTGCCAAGGAATCATTGTCTCAAGAATGATAGGAATGAGGGTTACATTGCAAGCATGGATGTAAGTTTGGAAGGGTTTGGCTATTATGCATGGGAAAGGGGGTGAAGGGTTCTAATTGAAGTATCTTTTTTTTTTTTTTGAGATGGAGTCTTGCTCTGTTGCCCAGGCTGGAGTGCAATGGCACGATCTTGGCTCACTGCAACCTCTGTCTCCCAGGTTCAAGCAATTCTCCGCCTCAGTCTGGTACTACAAGTGTCTGCCACCATGCCTGGCTAATTTTTTTGTATTTTTGGTAGAGAGGGGGTTTTATCATGTTAGTCAGGCTGGTCTCAATCTCTTGACCTTGTGATCTGCTCGCCTGGGCCTCCCAGAGTGCTGGGATTACAGCGTGAGCCATGGAGCCCAGGCAAAGTATTTTTCTTTTCTTCTCCCTACTTTTGTCAGGATCTCATGACAGAAAGCAGATTTAGGGCTTTCTTGGTCTTTCAGTAAGGAGACTGCAGGAGTAAGAACAATGTTGGGGATGCGAGTTCTTACCGATTCTTGTGAGAAAACTGGAGTAATACCACTTTTAAAGAAAAAAAATTGTCTGGAAAATTCCCTAGAAAACAAGGGAAGAAAATGATAAGATTTTGCCTCCTTACAGAAAGTGAAGTTTGTAAAGATCGTGAAGGTTCTGCAAAGGTCTTGAAACTGTCACCTGGATTGCTAAAAGGCCAGCTAGGTGATAAGCATGTGGTTTCAGAGTCCAGTTTCATGGTTCTTGCAGCCAGACTATTAATCCTAGCGTCCTTGAGGACTTGAAAGGCCAGCAACATCTGCCAGTTACTGCTCCTTTGCCACACAATAAAGATCCCGTTACCAGTGAACCACTAGTAAGAAGTGAACCTGAGGTATAACTTTTCAAAAGAGCAATAAAATTTTTCTGTGAGTAGCTTTTGGGAAAGAGGGATACATTGTTTACTCTCTTTCTGTGTCCCATAGAGTATAGTCAGCATTTTCTGGTGTTTCTTTAGTTTCCTCCTCTTCTCCTTCTCTCTGAAGTCTTTTACCAATAGAACAAAGATTTAAATTTAAGTTATCAAAATTTCATGATTCATTCTTAGTAAGGAGATTTCCCTAAAAAGCAGGATAGGCCCAATGAAGTATAATTTTAATTGGGACATTTTTCCTTAAAATATGTATAATTCTCAGCATTTCAGAGTAAAGAGAATTATCATGGGGAAGAAATCCCTGCCATGATCTCTTAAAAATATTTGTAAGGGTGCCAGCTTCTTACAGCACTGAATATTTTACTTTGATAATCATAAAACTGATTTTTGTTTTTTATTCCTTTTTCTCTTTTCCTAGGCTACCTAGCAGAGATATGGAGAGAAGGCTGTAATATAACAAATAAGAGTCAGAGGGGCTGAAAATACCTGAACTACTCCACATAGTTAAATGTTGGACAATATTGGGTTAGGAAAGTTAGCATTTATGTTCTTAGGTTGAAGTCAATTGCTTGGTGGTATTTGGTCAATTTTATATTTTGTTTTGTTTTTCACTTTCAGAAATCAGCAAGGCTGCTTCTGAAATGCTTACCAACAACTGTAAGTTAAGGACCTTTTTATTATAAATTTGATGAACTCACAGGTATTTTCTCATTATTTTTCTATTAAAAATATTTGAAATATATCATGTGGAAATCCCATAACACACTTGCCGAATTACTGGATATACTAGATATTGACTTAGAATTTCTCTTTGAAAAACACTAGTCTATTAATTTTAACATTTATTTAAACATATATAAAAAGTTAAATAAGAATTGATTCCAAATAATAAAATTGTGAGTGAAAAGTATCATATTTAAATATGTTAAAATGAGAAAGACTGAAGGAAATGACAATTTAGGATAAGAAGAAAATATAAAACCTGGCTATATAAAATACATTTATTAAAGATAAAAACAGTTCTGCATCTTAAACATTATTATTATTTTTTGCTTTAGAGGTGATGTTGCTATGTTGTGTGGGCTGTAGTGCAATTCACAGGTGCAATTATAGTGGACTACAGCCTGGAACTCTTGGGCTCAAGTAATCCTCCTGCCTCAGCCTCCCAATTAGCTGGGCTTAATGGGAGCACATCACTGTCCGGTTACATATTTTAAATACATTCTCTTTAGAGTATCATGTTGTCCACAAGATACATTCATGCAGTCATTCACTCCATGGATATTTATGGAGTATATTTTGTTCACATGGTGTCTTACAGACAGCAGTGCATATACTATGCAAGATGTAGACACCAATGAGGCAAAGTCTCCACCTTCAAGAATCTGCTTAGAGACAAGAGTTATAACACATAAACACAACAAAAGATAGTGGTTGAAAGATGTTTGAGACTGGAAAAGAGGATAAGTAAGAACCACTCAAACCAAGATAGAATACAGAACCAACACAGGAATATCTTGTAGGAAAGAAACATCATCAATTAGAAGATGTTGAATAATCACTGAAGGGTTTCAAGTAATTTTTAATGATATATTTTTTATAATGCATAATCAAAGATACCTGCTCTTGTGTAAATTAATCCTTTCTCTAGGTTGTGGGAGACAACTAGCCAACAGTATCATAACTGACAACAGAATTGTGAATGGAAAAAATGCCCTGTTGGGGGCATGGCCATGGCAGGCCAGCATGCAATGGAAAGGCCATCACTACTGTGGAGCCTCTCTGATCAGCAGCAGGTGGCTATTATCTGCAGCTCACTGCTTTGCTAAGTAAGTTTGAACATTTGACTAAATGAAAGATGCTGGGTGCAAAACTATTTTGGATAGTATGTCGGGGTTAACTTACTGTGTCAAGGTTCACCAAGACCATATGAAATTTACAATCATATAGAACATTTACGATCACCTGCATAATTAAAGAGCAGGAAAAGCGTTTAAATTAGGGAAAGGAGAGAAAAGCGAATGGAAGTATTAACATTTTCCAAATAGGTACCTTGGCCTGACATTAAGTGCTTTACTTAACATCATTTCATTTAATCACAACATTCAATTCTGTATGGAAGGTATAATTTAAACTATTTGAAGACGAGGAAACCAAGGCTCACTCAGGAAAGGTGACAAATCTTGGCTAAGATCACTCAGCTCTTTTGTTTGCTTGTTTGTTTGTTTTTTGAGATGTAGTCTCACTCTGTTGCCCAGTCTGGAGTGCAATGGCGCGATCTCAGCTCACTGCAACCTCTCCCTCCTGGGTTCAAATGATTCTCCTGCCTCAGCCTCCCGAGTAGCTGGGATTACAGGCACGTGCCACTGTGTGCAGCTAATTCTTGTATTTTTAGTAGAGATTGGGTTTTACCATGTTAGTCGGACTGGTCTTTTTTGTTTTGTTTTGTTTTTGTTTTTGTTTTTTGTTTTAGTCAGACTGGTCTTGAACTCCTGACCTCGGGTGACCCGCCTGCCTCAGCCTCCCAAATTGCTGGGATTATAGGCATGAGCCGCCGTGCCCAGACTAGCTCTTAAATAATAGAAATTGAATGTGAATTCAAGTATGTCTGACTCTAGTTACTAGGTGCTTCCTTGTCTTGCCATCCAGAAATTTATAATCTAGTTGAAAAAATTTAAATGTCATATGTTAAAAGTACAAGGCTGCATAGTGTTGTAAACATGACACGTATTACAAAGATAGTAAGTATTATGGAAATTTGAAGAAGAAAGACAGCATATCCATCTGATGTAAAATTTAACCTGGACCCAAAAATTGAGTATATCCAAAGGAAGATAAATTGTTCTACGAAAAAGACATATGCACTTGTATGTACACCACAGCTGTATTTACAATAGTAAAAACATTAATTCAACCTAGATGTCCAGCAATGGTGAACTGGATAAAGAAAATATGGGTAATATACACCATGGAATACTATGCAGCCATAAAAAAAGAATAAAATCATGGACTTTGCAGGAACATGGATGCAGTTGCAGGCTATTATCCTAACTAAATGAATTAATGCTGGAACAGAAAATTAAATACCACAGTTCTCCCTCATAAGTGAGAGCTAAACATTGAGTACATATGGATACAAGGAAGGCAACAATAGACATTAGGGCCTACTTGAGGGTGGTAGAAGGGTGAGAGTCAAAAAAGTAGCTATTGAAACCGAGGGTATGTGGCAATAAGACTAATTGTGGACCCCATCCACTTATGGGATTGAGGATGCTCATGTGATTCCTGACCAAATTAAATGTTCAGAAACTGGATGGAACTGAAGAAGCAGGGGAAAACATCAGTGACTCTACTTGAAAGGATCTGCAGAAAGCTGACAAGTCAGAGTCCTCCGCACTATTTTTATGTGACTGCAACATTTACAACAGCTCCATGTCAAAGATATTTTTCCAAATAGAATTTCTGTGGGTTATAGTGTTGTTTGGAAACCTCATGCCTTAAATTTGTGAGATAATCACCACTACGAACACTGTTGTGACCCAGAAACTGAGTGAATTCTAATTACATTGTGTCCTCTAGGAAAAATAATTCAAAAGATTGGACCGTCAACTTTGGAATTGTAGTAAATAAACCATATATGACACGGAAAGTCCAAAACATTATTTTTCATGAAAATTATAGCAGTCCTGGGCTTCATGATGATATTGCCCTTGTGCAGCTTGCTGAAGAAGTTTCTTTTACGAAGTACGTTCGCAGGATTTGTCTTCCTGAAGCCAAAATGAAGCTCTCAGAAAATGACAGTGTTGTTGTTACAGGATGGGGAACACTTAACATGAATGGTAAGTTTTTTTATAAAATCATAATAGCTGCATGGGAATAACTATTTAATCAATCAATCATCCCCTCATGCCATTAATCAATCAGTAAATATACTGAAAAGAAAACCAAGTGGTAGGACAAAAAGCATGATGTCAAATTGTCTTCACTTCCTAAAATATCTCTAGGAATAGGAATTGGAAAAATTGAAATTATGTTAGGCAGCCAACATTTACAAACACCTGAAAGAGACTAATCTAACCTGGGACTGGCCTGACTCTTGGTGACCAAGAGAATCTGCTTTATGCTGTAGATATTCTTTGTCCCAGCAAAGTCTAAGATCTGCATAATATGCAGTACTTATTGCTTTTAGGTTCATTTCCAGTGATACTTCAAGAAGCCTTTTTGAAGATTATTGACAACAAAATTTGCAATGCCCCGTATGCATACTCTGGCTTTGTGACTGATACAATGTTATGTGCTGGATTTATGTCAGGAGAAGCTGATGCATGTCAGGTATGTCTAGTTACATTAACCAATTGTTTTCTCCCAAACAGTTAATCAAATGGAAGTTTTTATCCACATGAATTTTTTTGTGTGTGTGTTAATGATATTGACATAGTAGCTTTGTATTTCAATACACTAAAATCTACTAGTATGTTAATCCCATTTATGTACCAGACACTAGCCTACATGCTATGGATGTGGAGGTGAACACACTCCTGCCCTCGTGAAGTTTCCAATCTAGGAATTCATACAAAGAATAATACTTAGAAGATGTTTGCAAGATGAATTTTGTCCTACTTTCTGGGCAACCTGCAGGCCTAGAATGTTGTCTTCTCTTTATCCAGAGATGCATCAGGAGTCTGGGCATGTGCCTATGCTACTCGTTCCTCAGAGGCTTCATCATAGAGACTTAAGCTCAGTGCAAGCAGCTAAGTCACCTTCTCCATATTCAAGCTGCACTCATTATATAAGTCAAACTCTGATTTGCTCAAGTCAACATTTGGCAGTTTTAGGCCATATACTCTGGTTTGTAGCTGTCTTGTGTTTAAAAAAAAATCCTAAGGGTTTCAGAGTTCCAAGCCCAAAGAGAGTGAATTCGTTTCAGTGCTCAGGAGGTATTGACAACTCCACAGGAGAGGTAAAAGGAAATTTTTTGTTAAGACAAGAAACATTTTTTTCTTTTCTTCTTCTAGAATGATTCTGGTGGACCACTAGCTTACCCTGATTCCAGAAATATCTGGCATCTTGTTGGAATAGTAAGCTGGGGTGATGGATGTGGTAAAAAGAATAAGCCAGGTGTCTATACTCGAGTGACTTCTTATCACAATTGGATTATATCCAAGACTAGACTCTGAAAGAAAAGGAATTATACAAAGGAACATAAAGACAACTGCAGGCTATCCTTATCTGTGGCTTTGGGATATTTTTATTTTGATTGTTGGTAAACTAATTGTTTTATTATACATAAAAATATAAATGTTTTTGTTAATATTTTGTTATATCTAAAACACTGTCCTTGTATTTATTAATCTTTTAAATTAATGTAAGAGATAGGAAGACGCTGGGTGTAGTGCCTTATGCCTATGATCCTAGCACTTTGGGAGGCCAAGATAGGCGGATTGCTTGAGCCCAGTAGTTTGAGGGCAGCCTGGGAAACATGACTAAATCTGTGTTCAAAAAAAATACAAAAATTAGGTAGGCACGGTGGCATGCACCTGTAGTCCCAGCTATTCAGGAAGCTGAGGTGGGAGGATTGCTTGAGCCCAACAGGTCGAGGCTGTGATGATTTGTGATTGCGCCACCACTGCACTCCAGCCTGGGCAACAGAGTGAGACCCTGTCTCAAAAAAAAAAAAAAAAAAAAAAAAAAGAGAGAGAGAGAGAGAGAAGAAAATAAAGAAGGCTAATATATAATTTTTCTTCATAACTGAGTTGTGATTCATTTTACCATTATATTCAGAATTGACCTTAATTTGTTTTGCAGAATCAAAAGAAAATAAAATATCAATTTTGAAAGTATGAGAACATATATAGGGAATTTATCAAATGAGTTACTTTTTAATTATATCAATTATAATTTCATTTTGTTAAACTGGAATATGTGTGACAGTGTAAATTAATTTTTTATTTATATGTGAAATGATTCATGTACCTCATAAAATCATGCAATCTTGCAGTGAAGAAGGAGTATCAGAGGTTCAACTAGACTGAGCCTTTCAATTTACAGATCAAGAAACGGAAGACCAGAGAAGAGAAATGATTTGCTTAAAGTCACTCTCCATCATCTGTGATAAGTTGATAAATTTATCCTTACACAAATTTGTCCTCATTGAGTTTAGATCCAAAATTTGTCAGGAATTAAAGAATGACTTTTGAGTGGCAATTATTTATACAACATTTTCTTCATATTCATCTTTTGTCATTTGCTTTTGCTTGCAGCAAAATCATATGAGGTCATCAAGGGTGGAGAACTGTGTGGCATCTCCTTATAGTAAAAGTGCAATCATATGGATGGCTAACTTTGTAATCTCTACAAATAATTTACCTTATGTAATTTTCCAAATGTAAAAGTCACCAAAAATTTAAAGGCCATTAAAATAAACTAAAAAAATACTCCTTTCTTCAGTTGTTTGTAGAGTTACTCTTTTATTCTTTATTATAAAATATGGCTCAAATGACATGCATATTGACATCAAGCAAATCTATAACCAACTGTAACAAGATGGTTTCTTTCTCTCCTCACTTCTGTTTTGGGCCAGCCACACACATTTATTGAGTCCCTAATGTGTTTCAGGAAATGTCAGGTATAGATACAATGTCTTCCTTCAAGGATACCATATTTAGGGAATAAAGATAGGCACTAAACATATAAATAAGATAATTTTACATTATGATAAATGTTATAAAGGAAATAAAAAGTAATGTGATAGAAAATGATGGAGCAGATAAGCTATACTTTAGATTGGGAAGTCTGAATGACATCTCTGAGGGGGTAGCCATTTGAGCTGTACCTAAAGAATGAAAAGCCAAGCCGGGCGCGGTGGCTCAAGCCTGTAATCCCAGCACTTTGGGAGGCCGAGGCAGGTGAATCACAAGGTCAGGAGTTTGAGACCAGCCTGGCCAAGATGGTGAAACCCCGTCTCTACTAAAAATAAAAAATTAGCCGGGCGTGGTGGCACGCGCCTGTAGTCCCAGCTACTTGGGAGGCTGAGGCAGGAGAATCCCTTGAACCTGGGAGGTGGAGGTTGCAGTGAGCCGAGATCACACCACTGCACTCCAGCCCGGGTGACAGAGCGAGACTCCATCTCAAAAAAAAAAAAAAAAAAGAATGAAAAGCCGAAACATAGAAACCATATGAAAGAAAAGATATCCAAAGGGAACAAATATAAGATCCAGAGCGAGAGAGAAAAGTGAGATGGATATGTGGGGCAGAAAGAAGGCCAATGTGATTGAAACCCCGTGGATAAATGAGAGACAGTAGGAAAGAAGATGGAAGAGGTAGCTGGGGACCAAGTCAAGTACCACTTGGTAAGCCATGGTAAAGACCTTGGATTTTCATTCTAACTGCAATGGGAGGCCCAGGAGTTTTTCGAGCAAAGGGAGTGAGATAATCTAATACATACTTTGAAAAGATTACTTAACTTTGATGAAGACAATTGGCTGGAGTGGGGGTGAAGAGCACAGAATGAGATGCAGGCAGACAGGTTAGAAAGCTATTGCAGCTGTCCTAGTAAGAAATGAACACATATTCACCCTTTTCCTTGGGCTAGGAATATACCTTGGTAGGATAACAGAAGATGTCCTTTTATAGTGCAACTCAAAGTAGAACAAACTTTAATATTACTAAGAAGCCAAAGGTATTGCAGGCTGTGTAATGATTTCCTTGTCTTGAGGATAGTTAATTCAGAGGTCAGATGTTACAAACATTTAATTTATCCCCAACATCATGAGTTGAATCACAGTCTGTCCCTTGCTTCTTCCAGAGGGAAAACAAATGAAACTGAATGAGTAATAACCCCAATATGGAAGAAAGAGGAAAGTGATTGGAAGGAAACGGTGGCCGGGATTTGAAGGAGGGTGGGAGATTGGTGGAGGAAGAGAAGTTGTGAGACTAAGGGGTCCATGAGAAAGAAATGAAGAGTGAAGATTTCTCGAGATTGAGGCTCTCTGGTTGAACAAGGAGGGATATGATAGCATGAGTGGCCAATCTCCAGGCTTGGTGTAGGTAAGGAGCAGGTGGGGCAAATTATATAAGGTAAAGCAGTTATTATTCAGTGAAAGGTGGATTCTTTATGGGGTGCAATAGCAGCCTTTACTTCAGTCTTAAGAACTTAGAATCTTCACATTCATATGAACTCTATGTGTGATGGATCAGCTAAAAGTAAGTGTTTTTTTCTTTCTTTCTGGTAGTAATAGACTGCACCATCCTGGCCTTCTGATGTTAACAGCACATTGAGAAGTTCACACAAGCAAAGAATTAGAGGTCTGCCTTGAGAAATAAAACCAACGACACTAATCGCAATGCATGAAAATTAAAATGCTAAATTGACAAAAGTATCATTATTTGCATTACAAAATTAGACACCATTTTATTAAAAAGTAAAAGATTTTCTTAAAATGCTTTTACTACTTATAAGTGGTATGGAAAAGAAACCAGAGATGAATGATTAAGGAGGTATTTTACGCTTCCCTCATCCCCCAGCTAAGCAGAACAAAACAAAACAAAATAAAACAAAACACAACTTGGTCTAATTTAATTCTTTCTTCCTGTTTTTAAGTAGGGGAAGTTGAAGTCCATTTTGAAGGAATCCACTGAGCAAGAATTTGACAAAGAGCATACCATTACTGACTAGCGGGACCACAACTATTAGTAAATGTCCATATGTTCTTGAGAAACATAAAAATTTATGTGTTTGAAATATGAAACTCTTTGTGATACAAGATACGGATATAGTCTTGTGAACTATGAAACATAAGCCAAGATCTTTTTGTGAATGTAGTGCTAATTAAAATGGCATTTTTTAAAAGATTAAACAAAATTAATGCCATATATGATAGCACAAAGTTGACAAGGTTGTTCCCTCAATGCAAAGCCTCAAATTAACCAACTAGTTTTGGCTTTAATAAGGAATTTTTGAAAGTGACTTCCTTGTTCAAGGATTGTGTCTGCTGTAGAAACACCTTCAACTTATCAGTGGATGAGAACTCTTTTTTAACTCATAAGGCAGTATTTTGTTATGCAACACAGACTTTTCTATTAATGCATTCAAGGAATACTTTCACTGAAAAATAAATCAGAAAAGAAGAGAGAAAGTGGTAACAAGTATCTAAAAATGTTTTTAAGTTTATTTTTAAAAATTTGGTCTTAGAGGCAGGGTTCAGTGGCTCATGTCTGTAATCTCAGCACTTTGTGAGGCCCAGGCGGGTGGATCAGAGGTCAGGAGATCAAGACCATCCTGGCTAACATGGTGAAACCCCGTCTCTACTAAAAAAAATACAAAAAATTAGCCGGGTGTGGTGGCGGGCGCCTGTAGTCCCAGCTGCTTGGGAGGCTGAGGCAAGAGAATGGCGTGAACCCTGGAGGTGGAGCTTGCAGTGAGCCGAGATCGTGCCATTGCACTCCAGCCTGGGGGACAGAGCGAGACTCCATCTCAAAAAAAAAAAAAAAAAAAAAAAAAAAAAAAATTGGTCTTAGATATTGGTCTAATGGCTCAAAGCCTGCTAGAAGCTTTTCTCCATTGACTAGAATTTTTATTTTTATTTTTTGGCACACCCGCAAATATCTTCATGTTCTCCTCATTGAACTTGTCATTTGCCGTTTGTCATGACTTAAATACTGTGATCAGTCATGACATCTACACTCACTGCCCCTGCCCCTATCTCCCCATTCACTATCTAGCTCAGCAAAAACACAAACATGGTTCAATCCAAGTCTTCAACTTTTTAGTGCATGTACCATAGTTGTTGATTTTAGCTGGAGAAAAACACACATCATGCTCACTACTCTTTAAAATCATAGTCATAAACCTCAGCTAGATCCTTAATGCTCTCTGAAAATCCTTTTGCACTTCCGTAACCAAAACGCCCTCTTATTCTCCTCAATAACTCATTAACTTCTCTCCTGCCCTTAACTCCAACACTGTCTTTTCTCCTCCTTACACTCACCAGATGATCATGCTCATTATTTCACCAAGAAAGCAAGAGGAACAAGATGAGAGTTTCTACTGGCACTTACCATAAAAATCTACAAATCTACTTGCTTCTCAAAGGGCAGTATAGGGAACTGAACTTGAGCTAAACAGCCTTTGTGCAAATGCTGGCTTTGCCATGTACAAGATGGGTGACTTTGGGCAATTTATTTGAAATCACTATGTCTCAGTTTCTTTGATGTGATATGGGGATAAGAATGATATCTGCTTTATGGTGTTGTTTTGGGGGTATTCAAGGAGTTAACAGTAATGTAGTTAGAACACATAGCAAATGCAAGATAGACATTAGCTGTTATCGCTCTCTATCCTCCTTTTTGTTACAATGGATTAACTGTTTGTACACCACTCTAAGGCCAAACTCTGCCCTTGTGCTAAGAACCCATCTGTATTCACCTTCTCAAAGATTTTATTTTCGTAACTGTTGCCCATCTCTGTTTATGTCATCAATTTTACCCTCTATACTGGATCATTTCCATAGACACAGTAACCTCTGCAATATATTCCAGATAAAAACATACTTATTTTTTAACCCTACATCTTCGCCTGCTATATTTCTTTGTGAAACTAGTTCAAAGTGCTGTCTTTTTTTCCTTTCCGTTCATTCCCTTTCAAACTCACTCCAAATATTGACTCAGATGTTCCTCCAAAACTGCATTAGTCATGGTCATCAATGAGTTTCATGTTGCAACTCCAATGCTCAATTCTCAATTCTTCCTTTAATTAATCTATCAGTAATATTTAGCATTGTTGATTTTTTTTTTTTTTTTTTTATGGAAACACTTTGTTTATCTGGCTTCCAGAAACAAAACAAAACAAAACAAAACAAAACATCTTTTATGGCAATCTTTCTATGTCATTAGCAATTTCTTCTCAGGTTTTCTGCTGGATCTTCCACATCTTCCCCAACTTTAGATGTTGGACTGTCCCAGAGCTCAGGCTCATATCTCTCCTCTTCTCTACTTACACTCATACCCTAAGTGATCTTATCCAGTTCAATGACTTTCTTTTTTTTTTTTTAGACAGAGTTTCACTCTTGTCGCCCAGGCTGGAGTGCAGTGGTATGATCTTGGCTCACTGCAATCTCCATCTCCTGGGTTCAAGCAATTCTCATGCCTTAGCCTCCTGAGTAGCTGGGATTACAGGTGCCCACCACCATGCCTGGCTAATTTTTTGTATTTTTTGTAGAGACAGGATTTTACCATGTTGGCCAGGCTGGTCTTGAACTCCTGACCTCAGGAGATCCACCCACCTCGGCCTCCCAACAAAGTGCTGGGATTAGAGGCATGAGTCACCACACATGCCTGTTCAACAGCTTTCCATGCCAACTCTATGCTTCCACTTCCAAGTGTTTTAATTGTAGCTTTAGAAGACACTGTTTTGCTATCCCCCTGAACCTTCAGTGGCATATCTCTAAAA